ATATAATAAATCGCAGTGTCTGTTTGTATTATCTAAAGATAAATTCCAGATTTTGGGAAGATGATGTATTTGTGGTGCTGATAACGAAAATCGAATTTAAAAATTTGTTGTCCGTCTGTCTGTCCGCAAGCCGCGTTTGTTCCGGGTAATCTTCGAAACGCTTTGATTTCGACGGAACTTTCACTGAAGGCTTTTTGGTTCGTTAAATTAATGAAATGCGTTTCCGAATTAGTAACTTGAGTTTAACTCCTTTGAAACTAAAGTCAAAACACTAATGAATTTTAATGACAAAATAAGTGTCAACTTCAGAAACCCAGCATAAATTACTTGTAAGCATGCTGCAAGCTTTTATATGTGGTGTTGGAATAATTTTTATATGTCGAAATAATTACATATCAAAATTAAAATGCTTGTTTTTTTAATGTTGCGTCTATGTTTGAAATCTCTTTAAATACAGAGTAAAAACGTCATCTGTCAAGTTTTTTATTGCGGACAACCTAAGTGATGTTAGGATTGGTGTGCTGTTTAACTCCTCACTTAAGTCTGGGGTAAGTTTTGTGTTTTTTTTTAAGTATTTGATATATTTGAGAATAGATTTTATTCTTTTCGTTTTAATTGTAATGTATAATTTTTATAGACTAGCTTTCGCCTGCGACTCCGTCCGCGTGGAATTAAAAAACAAAAGTAAGTAGCCTGTGTTCTTCCAGACTATCCTCTACATCTATACCAAATTTCATCGAAATCCGTTCAGCTGTTTAGGCTACAAACTCTAACAAACATCCATCTAAACTTTCACATTTATAATAAGTAATAATTTCGTACTTTAAATCTCACTGACGGATACTTTTATTTATTGTTGACTAGCTTTCGCCCGTGACTCTGTCCGTGTGGAATTGAAAACAACAACGAACAACGATCTATCTAAACTTTTGCATTTATAATATTAGTAACAGTGGAAGAGCCCGCTTTTACATCTTCGCACGCGCATGGGTCGGCTCGCCCGGTGAAATGCCACGACCGCACAGAAAACTGGCGTGAAGTGGAAGCAATTCCACGTACAGTCTGAGGTGCCGGAGGCCTAGTTTCCCTTTCCACCCTGTTCTTATGACGAAAGGATGGGAAGTGGATTTGACGGTGGAGGAGACGCATAGTTAGGGGAAATATGCTCTTTATGCGTCTCCTCCGTCAATGAAGGGTAGGCAGCGCTGCAATTGCGGATGTCTATGTGCAGCGGTCGCTTTCCATTTCGGTGGATTCAGGCCGCTTGCTCGTTTGCCATCTTATATTGGAAAAAAAATAGTAAGATGCGAAAGATGTCTGTTTGTTTTGTATTCTAAATTGAACGGATTTCGATGATTGTCTAATGTGGAAGATAATCTGGAATACATAGGATACTGACTTATAATTTCTACGCTGTCGGAGTCGTGAGCGAAAGCTTTATAAGTAATATAGATTTTGCAATGATGAAGTTACTTGTTTGTGATAAGTCTATTTATAAGTTGAGGTTCGTAATTCGATTACGATTTTGTTTATATACAGCCAGTATATAAGGTTAGGATATATAAGGTTTTGTGTATTAATCGTTTTATGTAGTTTTTTTGTGGCAATAAAAATTCTATTTATTTATTTATTTACATATTTATTTTAGGTCAAGTTGATAAGAATCACGAAGTTTACACAGATGAGCAGTTGGAGCAACTTTTGGAACATGTTTTGAGACATACAGATCTAAATAATGATGGTTATATAAATTACTTGGAGTACAGAGTTAGTAACTATAAGGGACAAGTAGGGAGAAGTAAATAACCAATATTATATCTTATCTATACTATCTATACTCTATGCTATTATAATAAAGCGTAAACACACACTTCTTTGTTGCCTAATGTCAGCAATTACAGCATATTTTTGAATAATTCTTTCTTTAATAAAAAGCCCTATACTTACCTCACGCTTTAGGCTATATATTTTCACGCCATTAAACTTAGGTGGTAAATATTTTGAATGTACCCTAATGTGGGAAAGAGACCATAAGTTGCTGCCAAACCTGCCATCAAGGAAGCAAGATTGTCATAATGTCATTTCATTTTGACATTTGCAATTGATAATTTAACAAATGTAAATAATAAAATAAAGTTTTCATAATTTCATGCGGATCAAGCCGCAACAGAACAGCTAGTAACCAGTAATTTGAGTGTCTGACGAACAACTACATTAAAAAAAATCTACTGAAGTTTAGAGTTTGATTTTTGTGTTGGTAACATTTAATATTTATTACGACATAAAAAACTCGTTCTACAAATAAAATGTTAGTAAAATACGGTAGAGCCTGTCCCAACAAATTGTAAATTGATAAGCCAACCTGTAAAATATGTGATGTAAATATCGGATTTTGTTACCTTATCTGACAGTGACATTTTTAAGCTATTTGAACTATCAGCCAGTGGTGGGACAACCCTTTAGCCCGTGAATGGCACATGCTCAAACACTATTGGTAAGACACTTAACTTACGAATACTTTAAACAAATATATATTGAAATTTAACTTCTAGAAAGTTCGAAACTTGGCGCGGAATTAAGATACAAATTTTAATAGTAATCGAGTTTTTTTTATTGAAACTATCAGACGATAAACGCAATAAATGGGAATATTTTCTTTTTTTTTATAGATTTAATTTTTGTATAGACTAGAAAATTGACAGATGATTTTTTTAATGTTTCGGCACATACAGTTTGTTTCTACATTGGTTTCCGGGAATCGAAAAATGTCTTGCATTTAATCAATGCATTTCTTACGTAAATTAAACAATAACATAACCTAAAAGAAATAAAGATTTTGTTATTTTTAGAACGTTTTTTATTTACCTTCCATTTGCAGGATAATTTGAATGACAGGTGAGTTTTTTATTTTAATAATGCTTTTGGTATAATTAAATAGTGAAGTATATAAAAATTATAAAGTTTTAAGCTAAACGTTTTTGGGGCAAATGTGAGCTGTGTTTAGAGAAAAGGTAATTTTCACATAAATTTTAATAATTCTAATAGACTCAAGATGTCACTACATAGTTTTATTTTTGTTTTGCTTTAGTTATTCTACTTAACGCTAGATGTCACTAGTTTCTATGGGGGTTCGCTTTTTGTTTTAATTATCCTACGTGACACTAGATGTCATTAGTGTGCCGTTCGGTGGTGGAATTTGTTTTTCTCTGTTGAGCAATAGATGTCACTATTACAAAAACTTAATTTTTTATATTTTTATGCTGGATTCTTAAAATTTTGTATTTTCACAGACGATCACGGAAAATTGGTTGAATCTGAAGTTAAATATGGAGATAAAGATCTGGAGGAAATTGTTAATGGAGCTTTGAAGCAGGCGGATCGTAACAATGACGGTTATATCGATTATTTTGAGTACAAATCTGTGTAAGACAAAATAATATTAAAATGACAGCTGTCGGCGCCATTTTCTACCATGAGGGATAATCTATGAACATATTTTTATGGCTTAAACTTTAGTTTGTGTTTTTATTGTAAAAACTTATGATGCTTTTATTTTATGTGCAATAGACTATAAATACTCTCTGAAATACGTAATACTTGTGTTAAATAGTTGGATTAAGGCTAGTCAAAGGTTTTTTAAAATTAAATTATATGAGTTTCTCTGAATTACGTGTTTTTATATAAATAAAAGACTCAAATAAAACACACACTTTTATTTTCAAAACTACATATTATTCTTAAAATTTAAACAGTAATAAACATATCTTAAACAACAATAGATATTAATTCATTCAAGATTTCACAATTTTTCAGCATTTTTTTTTAATTGCAAAACATCCAAAAGACATTTGTTGAACGCAAATAAAATCAAAATCATTCTTAATAACTAACCTCACATTAAAAAAAATAGTTTTACCACTTTATTTGAAAGTATATTCTAAAAATTCTTACATTCTTTAAATTATTCTAAAAACTATTACAACTGGGTTTATTTAATAATTCTAAAAATGCACACACTTAAATACAATCAAAAAGCTACGAAGCAAAAAACGCTTACAAGTAAAATTTTATTTCTAATTAAAATGTCACAGCACCAATAAGTAAAACTAAATGTATATTTTAAATAGTTAATTCTATCTATACTAATATAAAGAGAAAAGATTTGTATTTTTGTATGTATTGAAATAACTCAAAAGTTACCGGACATATTTCAAAAATTGTTTCACCAACAAATACCTACGTTATTAGTGAGTAACGGTGAAATAATTTTTGAAATCGGACCAGTACTTTTCGAGTTATTTCAATACATACAAAAATACAAATCTTTCCTCTTTATAATATTAGTATAGATATAGTATCAATTACTGGTTTGGACCATAAATAAAATCGATAAAAACGACAAAAAAATCGATTCTAAAACAATCTTTTTCATATACTCTATACCCTTGTTACCTCAAAGCAAGACATTTAATAAAATAATACAACAAAGTAAAATTATTTATTTTAAACGAAGTCATTCACAAGTATGTGATAAATTCCAAGATACGGTTGTATATTGAAAGCTATATTTAAATAGCGTTCTCCAAATTCCCTTAAAATTTTGACGTTTAAACGACTCTTACGAAAGAATTTTAAAAGCCTTCAGTAATCCGTTTTAATTAAAATTAATTTTATGCTTCTGAACACTAGATGTCGCTGTAAGTTGACATTGATGAACGACAAAGGCGCGGAATTTTTATTTAACATAAATAGTATTTACTTACATTGGAATTAGATTTTTAAGATATAATTGTATATTTCCCCTTTACTTAACTTAAAATAATATTAAAATATATATAAGCCACACAATACACATATTATTACGTGAAAATCACATTGTTTCATATTTTTCTTTGAAAATACTGTAATTTTGAAGAAATTGAAAAATAACAAATATGGAGAAATAAATTTACTACTTAGGTTTTTATTTTAAAATTTGTGGCGTGAAACATCTATCCAAAATTACTATTTATCCAATATTTTGTTTATTTTACAGTTCGATTAGTAATAGCGCCATCTATATATTACCAACTATTTCTCGATTAGTTAGCACGACTCTTCATCGTTCCTCACATTTGCTAAAAGTTTTAAAGACTGATTGCAGATAATAAAATAAAAAAAAAATTAACACGACATCTTTTGAAGTACATATAAACTAGTGCTGTACTGTAGAGGAAAAGCGCATACACTTCTGACTAAACTATCGCACAACTGTCTCGCTTATATGGAGGTACACTACTCGATTTAGTTGTACAACTAAACAGTTTAATTGGATGAATGACAATTGCAGAACAGTTGTGAGATTGTTTACTCAAAGGTAAATTTTTATTTTCAGATTTAGTTTCAGCGCCATCTATCGCTTAGTGCTAGCACTTACAGTTTTTACACCATTAGTTTTAACGCCATCTATCGGTGCTACCAGTCAAGTGGGTTTTGCATCGCTTGTTTCAAAGAGACGCTACTCTCGCTATAGAACTGCATGAACCAGGAGCGGAAAGCGCGTATTGTTTTGTCTGAGCGGACATACGCGGGCGCGCTCACATACCGCTTGCTGTTCCATATCGCCACGTCGCGTTTAAACTGGTACAAGCAGTATAATAGTTATTAAAATAAACAAACATACTGAAAAATTCATCTGACTTTTGCATATAAGTAAAATTAAATTACCCTTCAGTAAAAGGACCATCGTTAGACAGGACATTGGTCCTATTATAAATGCGAAAGTTTGGATGAATGTTAGAGTTTGTAGCCTAAACGGCAAAACGGAAAAGGCTATGAGAGGAGTTAAAAAATTAGTATGTTAAGTGTGACCTACAATTAAAACTCTTAGTAATAAATGTTTACTAATAAGAAAATGGTCCACCAACCTGCATGGCTTCAGCAACGACCATGAAAGCGCCGAAGAGCGCGTTGTGCGGCGGCGAGAAGACGCGCGTGGTGACGCGCTGCAGCAGCGCGCCGAGCGGCGTCACCGACTGCGCGATGAGCAGCGCGCCCAGCGGACACGCGAAGTGCAGCCGCACGTGGCTCGGACCTATCTGTAGGGCAATCTCTAATGTAGCAAAAGCGTAATAATATCGCAATTTCTTTGTAACATAAGGTAGCAAACGAGCAGTCTGAATCCACCGAAATGTAAAGCGACCGCTGCACATCCGCAATTGCAGCGCTGCCTACCCTTCATTGACGGAGGAGACGAACAAAATCCACTTTTACTTCCCATTCTTCCCTTTTAAGAAAAGGGTGGAAAGGAAAAGGGACTAAAATTAGGCCTCCGGCACCACATTCATCAGAGGAAATGCGGAATTGCTTCCACTTCACGTCTGATTTCGTGTTTATTATTTAATTACTATGTGTTTTTTTATTGTGTTGTAGTGTTGATAAGATTAAACGGTGTTTTATTTTTTTTTCATTTAATTTTTGAAAGCAATTATTGTTATCCAATGAAATTTTCCTTATTGTACCAATCGTCAACTGGAAACACTAAGTAAGATGCTATAATTTACCTGCGTAACAGTTACTTTCATAGGAAACACGTCGCATTTGAAGACGATGTATTTCTGATTAATCATCATCTGTGCCTCATGCGGCTGCTCTCCGCGACACCACTCTGCTGACCACACGTGCTGACCTGACCAAGATATTGAAACTTTTTCAAAGGTAATTCATGGGCGTTGCCAAATGATTTACGGGGCAAGCTTTGCTATTCCACAGAAATTGTTACATTTACCCTATTGTTAAAATTCCCTTATCCTACTCCCGTAAGGTTTCCACCGGGTTTTTGTCCTTCAAATAACTCTATCATCCGTCATCTCAGTCACTCCCTTCTTGATCATGTCACCTTTCACACAATCCATCTCTTTCTATGTCCTTCTTACATATGATTTATTCCTCCTCATGACAGGACCATGCTAAATTGTTTAACATATGGGGCAAATTTATTTATACAAAAAAACTGACGTCTCTCGTCTCGTCTTAAGTTATTGTGATTCTCTAGGGATTATAAACATCTAAGTATTTTTGGAATAATATTGTTTTTACATTTTTTAACTATAGAGGCTCTCGACGACGCCTGGCGATGCCCTTAGACACAAATGTTTATTAAAATTAAGATTTTAGCATAGTGAGTTTGGTTAATAAATGTCAATACAAAATCAACGGGTAGAACAATCTAAATGTCTTACCAATGATGTTATGTAAGAATGGGAATCTATTCCCGATATCTGTGAGCATGGAGGTCGAATGCAGTGCGTTTAGATGAGCCACATCCGCGCCATTCTCTGGTATCTCCTGAAACGAAATGTAAAGTAAATGTTATAAAGATCGTAATGGGTTATTTTTTAATTAAAACTAAAGACATCATTGACACTTTCCCATAGAGAATCGTTAAATTTGAAGTAAAAACTAGTTAGGAGAAGATTGACAAAATAATAGCTAATTCTAGACCTAACCAGCGACTAACGACGCCAATGGCTGAGAACAGAACAGAATTAAGAATTTCCCTACAACAGATGGTCCAAAATGTACTGAAAATGCTAAAGTGGTCAAGCGATAATTCATACAATAAAAATAATATCGGCTCAAGGAGTACCACTTTAAAGAAAATCTAGACTCAGGAATAGAGTTAAGAATCTAACCTGTATATGAGCGTTGATCATGAACTCATTCCTTCCTCTGAAGGACATGTTCTTCATCTCCGGGGCTTCCGGCACCGTCCACAGAGGGTCACGACCTTCGGCGTCGTGCCACACCCACACCGCGCCGTCTACCTCCATAGTGTGGTATGTCTTGATAGTGATGCCTTTTGGTACTGCCACATTAAAAATATAGACAGTGAACAAAAATTCATACATACTATATAAGTTAAGTTTAGTGCCATCTCGTGTTTGGGACATGTAATATAACGTTTTACTACATTATAATAAGCTCCATCTATTGGTGTGAATTAAACAATGTTAAAAAATACAAACTAAATTAAAATAAAAGGGGAAACAAGACCGTCGGAAGATCTGTCGTGATGTATGGAACAGAATGTTGGGCATTAAAATGGACGTATGCAAGGAGACTACATGTGGCAGAAATGCGAATGTTAAGATGGATGTGTGGTAACACAAATCAACAAGATACGAAATGAGTATATTAAAGGAAGTTTGAGAATAAATAACAATGAGAAGTAATAAAAAGTTAGCACGGTACAAGAATCGCATGTAACAACCAAAAGGGCGTTAGTTAATGGTACACCGGTAGAGGTACATACATAGAAAGAGTCGTATTGTGTGAAAGGTGACATGATCAGAAAGGGAGTGATGACTGATATGACGGATGATAAAGTTATTTGGAGGACGTAAACCCGGTGCCGACCCTACGGGGGTAGGATAAGGTAGGGGGAGGTGATGACATTGGAATTACCAGTTTCAACTTCAGGTATGCTAACACAGTGCCCCTCAGCGTTGAACCTCCACTGATGGAAGGGGCATGTGATACAGCTTCCGCTGACTGTGCCGCCAATAGCCAGATTCGCCCCCAAGTGTGGGCAATATGCCTCCACACAGCGAGCCACACCATCCTCGCCACGGTATACGGCTAAGTTCAAACCTAAGTGACACACTTATTGTTATAAAAAACGACTTTGATCTGTCCACCGCTAGATGCCACTGTCATTAAATTAAATCACGCTAATGAAGGACATATTGGATATTTTTACCATTTATTTTATCACTAGCTGTTGCTCGCGATGTCGCCTGCGTGGAATTAAAAGATAATAAAACATAGCCTGTGTTACTCACTGATAACGTTACTTTTTAATGGTGAAAAAATATTTGAAATCAGTCCAGTAGTTTTTGAGTTATTTCAATACATACAAAAGTACAAATCTTTCCTTTTTATACTAATATTATATATAGATTAACCAGTAATTCATTGATGTTAGGTTGACGTAAGTTTCAACGGAGTAAAGCTCTAGTTACGTAGTTCGGAAACGCATTGTAAATTATCAAAGCAATAATAAAATGGTAAAATGTAGCTGGGAAACCACCCATAAGTCTTATAAAATGCAATGTTACTCACCTAACGCGTCAACGGACACCATCTTGCCAATTTTAAGGTCTCTGCTTTCGACAATCGCGAACCAACCGTTAGGGTACGGCGGTGGAAGCTTATTTCCTAATTGTTTAGCGCTTTGCACTCGGTTAATATTCATAGCCCTGTCTCTCTTTCCTGGTATATGTTCGAAACCAATATCAGTCAGTTCCTGAAATATTAGTTTCATCATATTTTTATCTTTTTTTAATTAAGGATGTTTAGGTTAGCTGTTAGGTTATGTGAGGTTAGAATTAACTACGACGTTGTCCAACTAAACGGGTATTTTGTTACAAATTATATTATTAAGTTATTATTCCTTAAAATGAAATTTAACCTTAATAAGATGACTTATTAATGTAGATTATTTTTAAAATCCATCAACATGAGATAAATTTTAGAGTAAACTACATTTTTACAATAACAGACTTGCGATTGTGTGTCAATGGATGTGCGATTGAAGTAAAATTGCTTATAAAATATTACATTTTATAAATAAAATAATAAACTAACCTTCACATAAATCGGTGGACTCAAATAACTTTTGTACAGAATGTATAAAAGCAATATCAATGTTGCAATCAACAATAAATATCCGATATTTTCAAAAAACAATATGATTCCCGAACGAGCGGCAGCCATTGCCAAATTCGTCGAAAAAACTAAAACATCCTTGTGTTCCATATTCGAATGACATTGCGCGGGAACTGACATTTTATCCGCCATCTTGTAATCTCGATATAATTCGGCGACAATATTTTCGGTTGTATTCGTCATGACGATATCTGCAACGAAAAAAACAATTTTTATTTACCCTTCAATAAAAATGTAATTTAAATGTATTACTTCGGAGTCTTTTGAATTAAGATTAAGAAAAATAATATTGTTGAGCCGCTATTCGACGCTAGATGTCGTTGTAATGAAACAATTTACGTGTAGAGAAAACTTTCTACTCCTTTTTTAAAGGAATTGCCAGAACTAATTAACATGAAAGACACGATTAAAATTTATGTAATGAACATAAAAATACTTACAACTAAAAAAAAATAAAAAAAATCGTTAATTATTAATTTCGTATCTAAAACAACGGGCGACTATTCCGAATGAAATCTTTATGTCGAATGAATATATTTTCACATAATACGTATTGTCAAAATCTTACTTATGTTACAAATGCGAAAGTTTAGATGTACATTTGTTAGAGTTTGTAGACAAGACTGTTGAACGGATTTCGATGAAATTTGTCACAAATGTAGAACATAGTTCAAACCAGAGTATATCCCTCCCTTTAAAAATCAATGGTTTTTTAGCGCCCCCCATTTTTATACAATTTTAGTGAAATAAATCTATACTATTGTAATAAAGCGTAAACACACACTTCTTTGTTGCCTAAGATGTCAGCAATAACTGCATGTTTTTGAATAATTCCTTTAATAAAAAGCCCTACACTTATGTCATGCTTTACGCTATATATTTTCACGCCATTAAACTTAGGAGGTTAATATTTTGGATAAAAACCCTAATGTGGGAAAGATACCATAAGTTGCTGCCAACATCAAGAAAGCAAAATTTGCCATAGTAAGGTAATTGGAATTTTGACATTTGCAATTGATTATTTGACACATGTAAACAATAAAGTAACATTTTCATAAGTTTATGCGGATGAAGTCGGATGGGAACAGCTAGTACTATAAAAAATAAATGAAATTACAAATTATACATCGCCCCCCCTAACCCACATCAACTCCCCCAATTTTTCTAGGGCTCTATAACGCTCCCTTCTAGTTTTCAAACGCCCCCAAGAGGGCGTTATCACCCACTTTGAGTCACACTGGTCTAAACTAACACATAGGTTAACTAAGTAACTATTTTTTTAATTCCACGCGTACGAAGTCGCGGCCGAAAGCTAGTCATTTATATATTTAATTTGTATTTGACAACGACCAATTTCTTTTGTTTTTATTTACTTAGTAATTGTTAACGTTATTCATGAAGGAACATTTCATTAAATCAAAAGCATTTTTCAATTTAATATATACTCGTATTTTAAGTTACTGCACTTATTTAGTGAAATTAATTAAAACATCCACTTAACAGACATAATGACATTTTACTAATGATATTTTTTACTGTGAATTTAAGTATCCCATGTATAAACTAGGGTTGTAACGGACCTACGCTTCCGCACCCGCAAGTGCGGAACTTCCGCAAGAAATATTAACTTCGCATCCGCTTCCGTTAAAATAACCTCCGTTGCAACCCTAGTATAAACTACGAGCTGTTGCCCGCGACTTCGTCCACGTGGTATTAGAAAACATACGAACTATATAAATTACAAAAAACTACGTATCCCTTGGGAACCGGACATGTCTCGAGGATGAAGCTTATCCCATGTGTACTTCAGACTTTGTTTTATTTCTGTGCCAAATTTCATTAAGATATGTTGAACAGTTGCAGAATGATCATGTAAACATTAAAAAACGAAATTAATTAATCCTACGGGAACCGTAATGTTTGTATGTTTGGCATAGATGTAGAGGGTAGTCTGAAAGAACACATAGGCTACTAGGTTTTGTTTGTTTTTTTTAACTTCACGCAGACGGAGTCGCGGGCGAAAACTAATTTTATATCAGAAGATGGAGTTTATTATATTGTGCAATGTTTTATTACATGTCAATACACGAGACGGCACTCAACGTGACAACATAGTACCTTTCAAAGAAGTTACCGGTGAAAAAAATGTCCACTGTCTATTCTATACTCTATAATGTCTTTGAACGTCAATATTAAACAGAGGTCATTAGTTGGAAAGGATCCGTTGAAAGTAAAATGTTAATAATTTAGAAATCTAGTTTTATAAAGCCGTTAAAAATCCTGTCCGAAGTATCTTTATATCGTGAAAGTTGACCGTAATATTTGAAAAGGTTTGAAATTGTTTATTTTACATATTTATACACTAATGGAATAAAATTTAAACGCGCACTTCTTTATGTAGGATTTCAATCACTGCTTGTTTTCAAATATTTATCTGACTAATATAAATGCGAAAGTTCAGATGGATGTTTGTTAGAGTTTGTAGCCTAAACTGCTGAACGGATTTCGATGAAATTCGGTACAGATGTAGAGGATAGTCTGGAACATATAGGCTACTCACTTTTGCTTTTTTTAATTCCACGCGGTCAGATTCGCAGGCGGAAGCTAGTATTTAATAAAAAGCCTATAATACTATCACACTAATATTATAAACTAGTGTTATCCCGCCACTCCGTCCGCGTGGAATAAAAAAAAAGTGAGTTGCCCATGTGGTCTTCCAGACTATTCTACATATATAGCAAATTTAATTGAAATCCGTTCAGCAGTTTAGGCTACAAACTCTAACAAACATCCATCTAAACTTTCGCATTTATAATATTAGTATAGTGTGAAAGTTTAGCTGAGTTTGTAGTCTAAACTGCTGAACGGATTTCGATGAAATTTGGCATAGTTGTAGAGGATAGTCTGGAAGAACACATAGGCAACTTTAATTCCACACAGATAGATTCTACTATTCAATTTAGTGTGAACTAATATGAAAAAAATCACGCGGAAGCACTACAAGCCAATAGCAAAGCAAGATTGCTTGTAATAAGAATTGCAATACCTTTGTCGTTATTTGTGTAATTATTTAATTAAATCTATACAATTATAATAAAGCATAAACACACTTCTTTGTTGCCTAAGATGTCAGCAATCACAGCATATTTTTGAATAATGCTCTTTTTAATAAAAAGCCCCACACTTACGTCACGCTTTAGACTATATATTTTCACGCCATTAAACTTAGGGAGTAAATATTTTGGATAAAACCCCTAATGTGGGAAAGAGACCATAAGTTGCTGCCAACATCAAGGAAGCAAGGTTTATGTAATGTCATTTCGACATTTGTAATTGATAATTTGATAAATGTAAGCAATGAAATAAAGTTTTAATAATTTAATGCGTGTGAAGCCGCACGGGAACAGCTAGTTTTAAATAAATTACCAATTAAATATAACATTATACGCGTAAAAAATTGTTACATTGTACTTCTGAAGATAACCTTATTTTTCAATCTATAATTTATTCAACAAATTATATTATTTTAACATAATTACGTATTAAAGTATGCCGCAGGCCAAATTCCAGTTATCTCCTCGTTCTTATTCATCTACCTGTCTATACTATTATAATAAAGCGTAAACACACGTACTTTGTCACCTAAGATGTCAACAATTACAGCATATTTATGAATAATTCTTTTCTTAATAAAAAGCACTACACTTACGGCACGTTTTACGCTGTATATTTTCACGCTATTAAACTTAGGGGGTAAATAAATTGGAAAGAACCTTCACTTGGGAAAGGGACCATAGACTACAAGCTGTCAACACTAAGAAAGCAAGGTTATTGGTAACGGTAATTTTGATATTTGCAAATGACAATTTGACACATGTAAACAATAAAATAAAGTTGGATCGGTAGTTTTTGTGTTATTTCAATACGTACAAGAATACAAAATCCAAAAATATAAATCTTCCCTCAAGCTATACCTAGCTGTTGTTCGCGACTTCGCCCTCGTGAAATTTTTGATATTGCCTCAGTAGTTTTTTAAGTTATTTCAAGACGTACAAAAATATAAAAATACAATTCCTCTTTATAATATTAGTATAACTAGCTGTTGTTCACGACTTCTTCCGCGAATTAAAAAAAATGCAAGTAGAATTACATCGAGATCCGTACAGCAGTTTAGGATACAAACTCTCATTTTTTGTATAATAAAAGGGGGCAAACGAGCGGCGTGAACACCAAGGTGGTCAACAACGCCCATGGACATTCGCAACACCGGAGGAACTACAGATGCGTTGCCGGCATTTGAGGAAATTGTAGGCTCGCTTCTTGAAGGACCCTAACTCGTATTCAGACTTTCGCATTTATAATATTAGTATGATTTGGTATTTACAAGTTTAGCTTTTTTTTTATAATATAAGGTGGCAAACGAGCAAGCGGCCACCTAAATCCGCCATAATGGCGAAGCGACTGCCCATAGACATCCGCAATTGCAGATGCGTTGCCTACCCTTATACGACGGAGGAGGAGACGCATATAAAGAGGATTTTCCCCTTCCTATGCATCTCCTCCACCGTCAAATCTACTTCCCCTTCCCATCCTCTCCTTATGAGAAAAGGGTGGTAAAGGAAAAGGGACTAAAATTAGGCCTCCGGCACCACACTCATCAGACGAAACGCGGAACTGATTCCACTTCACGCCTGTTTTCTGTGTGGTCGTGGTATTACACCGGGCGAGCCGGCCCATTCGTGCGAAGATGTTAAAGCGGGCTCTACCACTGTTAGCTATGTGTTTTATTACATATTTGACCGACTTTCCAAAGGGACGCACTCAATTCGTCTGTATGTTTTCTGTGTTACGGCATAACTCCGCTAGTGGACCGATTTTTCAATTTTGATTTTCTCCTTGATACGAATAGGAATAGTTTTTTTGCTAAGTAACAACCGAAACATTTATTACAATGAGTTTATTTAAATTGTGGATAAAAATAATTAAGGTCAGTAAGCAATTTGTAAAATATATTAATTAAATTAATTGCAACAAAAACTACACGTGTAAGGCCTTTCGTATACGTTAGTCCGGACGCACACCTTACACTGTCGCACTGTTCTGCGATTGTCGATTGTTTCTCTCATATGTTTAGTTGGAAAACTAATGAAAAAATAAAACCGACGTCTAAACAAAACACACTCAAAGTATTCTCAAAAAAACAGTACACTAAAAAGTGACGAAACGATTCCTTGAAATTAGTAAACCTCTCTTAT